AAAGAAAAGATAAAGGCATTAGACGAATTACAATCTTGAACACCAAACAGAAAGTTAATTAACAATACTTTTGAAGCCAAACATTATATGGTTCTAGCTAGACAAGGTAATTACGAAACACTAACAAACATGAACACAGAGGTTCAAGTGAATTTCTTGACGTTGGGTATAACAACTGGCTTGAATTCAATTGCTAATGTATCATTCACGAGGAAACCTCTTGATGGGCGCTGAAGATCTCTCAGCGGCATGAAGTTAGAGCAACGCCAACCATCAAACAGGTCATCAAACCACGCAACATCTGCAAAAGAAGAGGAAAGAGCATCTCTTATGAATCCTTAGATAATAATATTAGACGACGTTAACCTTGGTAAGCTGTCAAGAATCTTCACCTGCTCGAGAATAATGTTTGTTATTAAGTTGGTCTTTCACTAGGATCATGAAACTGAGCACAAGTTTTCCAGTCTCCTCGAACGGCTTCATGATCCACTAAATCCAGAAGGAGCGAAAGGGTTTCACCATCACTTTTTGAATCCCCCTTTGTATAGACAGATAACGACCTAATTTATTAGTTGATCATCAAGAGAACCATCGTTATGAAAATGCCAAAAGCAGACCTGGATGAAGAATATAGAATTTTAGGACAAAACAGGAGCATATATATGGCATACCAATTCAGTCCACCAGCAGTGAAAACTGTTGACTTAATGACTTCCTCGAGCTCGTCCAAGAGGGAAAAATTGTCAATTTTCCAAGTTAATCCCTCATCTTTAGTATTCAACATTGACAAACACTCGCCAACTCCAAAATGATTTTCATTTTCTACGTACATTTCTGCTCCAAATACACAGGTATCTCCCACAAGACATCCATTACAAGCATCAGCGAAATCTTTGTGCGACAGTAGTTTTGAAAATCCCCATTCAGTTTTCATTGCGTGAAAACGTCTAGCCTTTGCTTTAGGATCTTAAATACAAGAAAGAAAAGAAAGGGACGAAATATGAATTATATGTTACCACGTACAGCATTTTAGCAGCATCCATCATCTACTGTCAAGCCCCAAAAATAAAAATAAAAATAGAAAGAAAAACACTCATCAAATTAAGAAACTCTTTACCTTCAAAGACATAATACTTGTCTCTAATTTGTTCGTACACAAAAAGTTTGAAATTGACATCTATCATCCATCCAAGAGGTAAAGTGCTAGTTTCAACAATCATCAAGTAGAGAGAAATGTGCCCATTTCCATGGCCATCACTTCCTTTGCCACCATTAGGGTCAAGAGACAACTTCCTTTTACATTACAAATTACAATTTATCAGCCAACCTTGCTTCAAATTAATGCAAAAGAGCTGTTGCATTGCATTATAACTAAAACAAATTAAG